ATGGTCATACATCTCGATGTCATACATCAATCAAAGGGTTTTTCAACATTAAAACTACTTATTCCGGCGGATTTTTGAGGTGCATTAGTAGTTCTATATTATAGGGTTGCATCCTTATATAAATTTTTTCCTTTTGGTTACTGCACAGATTTCTTAGTTTGGAGCTTGGGGTTAGCAAAGAAGAAGATAGAGACGATCCAAAATTAGATAAAGATGTAAAAATCATAGATAAAGATGTTCTAGGATTTTGAATAAAGTTAATAACAAGATCATCTATTATGCTTGAGTATATATTTTATATAAGAAAACTTTAAATAAGATTTAATTTTGGCCATCCATTTAATTTAATTATAACCATTTATTATAAAAAAATTTAATCTAATGAAAATAGGGTTATGTTAAGGTACTCATATATATAAATATTTATTTAATATACTCAATATTTTTTGACATTCAATACCTTTATTCTATCATGTATTTTTTACTCAAGGGTATTTTAGGTAATTAAATATTTTTAAATTAAAAAAAAATATATCTCTATATACTCTCTTTTTAAGTTTCATTTCCTAACAGAACTAAGGTGGTATAGATATCCCACATGTATTATATCTTCTAGCCCTTTGGATTGATATCTCATCTTTTTAGCTTAAACAAAAGCTCAAAAGACATTTTTTTGCTATTCCTTTCTAAACCTCTTTCTCTTATTTATGTGTTTCTTCTCAAACCTTTATTTTCCTTTTAATATTGAAAAAAACAACAGTGGGAAAGGAATAAAAAAAAAAAGATATTTTTTAAACTCTTGTTTGGGCTAAAACGATGGGTTGGTCTCGAGGTTAAAAAGATATAATACATGTATCTCTAAGCCGTCAGATATATTTTAAAATTTAAGGTCGGTTGAGAAATGAAACTTAAAAAGATGGTGTATTTGTGTCCAGGTTTTGGACCTAAACACGACCTTTCAAGTCTAAAATTTGAACCCATATGTCCCGGGTCTGGTCGGTTTTATTGCCACTTTGACTATGAGCTTCTTCTATTTTACTTTTTTTTTACTATCATATACCTATATTATTAGCAACATTTATAGTATTGCACAACATTGATGAATACCCACATTCCTTACTGTTTTACATAATAACTAGAATTTTCTAAGAAACAAACTTATTGGCAACAGTTATGAATACCCATATTATTCGGGTCGCGTTCGACTGGACCCAGACCTAAATAGTATTTGGGTCTAGGTTTTGAATCAATCTCGACCTTTTGGGTCCAAAATTTGGACCTATACCCAGACCTGAGGTCGGATCCACTTGTCGGTCCCGGGTCTGGTCGAGTCCATTGCTACCCCTAATATTGAATACTATTTTTTAAAATTTTCTTTCATGACATCTCTCTCTACTATTTGTAAAAAAAATTCTTTCTTGACGGCTCTCTCTCGACCATGTTGTGATGTTCAAACTTCTTTTTTTTTCTTTTTTTTTTGAATGGTAACGTACAACTTATTATTAATTCATATGTAAAATACAAGATGTTCAAACAATGGCACAATATTACAAAAAAGAAGTAACCAACAGAGAGGGAGTATGGACTCCTCTTTTAGCAAGAACATCGGCATCTTCATTCGCCTCTCTATAACAATGTTGGACCGTTGCCATAGAGGTTGACAAAATATCTCAAATTTGATGAAAAATAATCCTTAATCTCCAAAGGATTTTTGCCTTTCTCTTACTCCTGGCAATGACATTTGGCAAGTCTCTTTTGATAATCTTGTCCCCTTCCAAAGTCCATAGCAATTTCAAACCTTCTAATAAACCTCGTGCTTCGACATCATTTGCTGTTGTGATACTACAATGACCCAAGTAAGAAAAAATAATGTAACCTAAATTATTTCTAATGTGTCCACCATAGTCAGCTGGCCTTAGATTGCTAAGTAAACTTCCATCAATTTAAGTTTGAAAGAATTCATTGGTGGTGGTATCCAAACAACATCACTACGAGTGTTGATGGTAACACCCAAAGTTGTCACTGCCGAAAGATTGCTAATGATAAGACTTTTAAGAATGAAGCCACTATCCCTATGTGCAAGGAACCAATCAGATGCAACTGCCAAAATATTCAATTTTAAGGTAGACAGATCTACACTTATACTATTAAAAACTCTTTTATTAGTTTCCTTCTACACATTCCAAAGAAAGCTAACCCCAATAGATCTGCAAATGATAGTTCCTATCTTTGAAATACCGTGTGTGATCCATTGGTCAAGAAGAGCTCTGACATTTTGGTGCAAAGGTAATGACATATTGAGGCACTCGCAAGCCCAATCTCAAAGATAAGCAACAAAAGTGCATGAGATGAAAAGATGTAAAGTTTTATCATTGGCTTTGCACAAGATACATACATTGGTGATAATAAACCCCCTCTTTCTCAAGTTGTTAACAATTGCTAATTTATCTTGACACAAGATCCATAACATAAGAATAACTGCATTTTAAGAGGCACATGCAATTTCTTAATCTTGAATAATCTTTAAGAGACGCATGCAATTTATCTCTATCTCTCGACCATGTTGTTATGTTCAACCTTTTATGCAAGTCAATATGATATAATTAATAATATACTGCCTTACAAGTGAGCGATCCTTAGGAATAATGCTGATATGTTAGAATTTGTTGCCTCATACGTGAGTGGCTTTTGATTTCTTTTAAAATTATTTGATATATTTGTGTCACATATTTACATTATTAGTCAAACTTTTCTATATGTATCATTTGCAAACGTCTTGGAGGAAGGCAGATCTGAACAGGTCTCCATTGTTAATGTGACTTTTTGAGTAAAATTTTGTTTTTTTATTTGAATAAAATTTTGTTTTTATGACGCATATGCTTATGACATTAAAGTTCTCTTTGCATGCTTGCCAAAGAAACTAGCAATTCAAGCTCATGCATAAAGTGCATGCTTGCGAGAGAAACTAGCAATTCAAGCTCATGCATAAAGTATGTGCATGTTTATATGCTATGTATGCGTCAAAGTGTATGCATATTCATATATGTGTGACCTACTTTGGTATTGTTGATAGGTATGACATATTAAGTAATAAACTTGAAAATTCGTGAAAATCTTCGAACGTTGAATTCACGGAACATTTAGTTCAAATATTTGATTGTCAGGAAATTCAAAATAAATTAGGTATTTGTAGTTTTAAGTTTTTAAAAATTTATAAATTAATCTAATACATAGGCTCTCAAACTATTGAAATTTTGAAATTAAAGGAAGCTGATCTAAGCATGAAAATTAGTATTAGTTAATTAATATATAAACCAATTTTATTTACTGGATGGACATCTAATTAAAAAGTGATAACGCAACAATGACAACAATATCTTATTTTTTTAAAGGGCAATGATTTCATGCAACCGTTGTATAGTAATATAATACAACAACTTGAAAAAACCATCTTATGGCTATTTGTTTGATCCAAATTTTGAAATATATACTCTTTTCATTCTAATGAACAATCACAATAAAATAAAAAATTGAAAACGCGACCTTAACCCAATTAACATAGGCCGTTCATTTTGGTGAGATGCTTAGATTTAGGCCTTAAAAAGATTTTTTTCATTTTCAATTTTTTTGGATGGCTTTATTATTATTAGATGAACAATGTTAAAAAAGAAAAAAATGATTTTGAGTTTATAATGGCTAAGAACTTGAAACTCGCACAATGAACGGTCTAGATTCGTTTTTTGAAAGGGATTCATTTGGACTATATTTAGGATCCAAATTGAACCCTTTTTTTTTTGGAGGGGATTAATTATTGAGATGAAGATAATGCGTGTGAAAAATTTGGGTTCATACAAATATCACAAATATAATTTTTTAGAAATATTGTTGTATTATATTATGATACAACCGTTACATTGGATCATTGCTCATTTTTAAAATATCCTTAGAAACTATGTCTATATTTCTATCACAGAAAGTGACAATTGTCATTTTTTTATTGCTATTATGTTATAAATTTCATTGCAATTCAATGTACTCTCTATGGCACATCTACACAATCCTATACGTGAGCGTTCATTTCATTCCTACATGCAATGCACATAATCTGATTAGTTCCATTTTTAATTGTTTATTATTGATGCTATCAATAGCTTTAAATATTAATTAGATTGCTAGCAATTCGGAAACCTTAAATAAATAAATAAATAGACTAACATTTATTAAAGCAGTTACATTTCACGGGTGATTTTTTTTTTTTT